GATCAGAGCGAGACACTCACAATCTTATTCTGTCGATCCTCAAAAGAGAATCCCTCAAAGTTGATCTGCAGCCCCTTCTGCTCGTATGAAAGCCACACAGGTACATGGTGACCGCCCTTGCCCTCCGGCTCTCCGAACCTCTTGACCACTGTTGTGTTGTCAAAGAAGACGCAGAGGCATCAAAGAGAACGACGACCATCTACATTGGTGAGATCAAAGCTCAATTCATGGGGGAGAGTATCTTGGTACTTTGAAAACCCATCTTGTCCTGTCACCTTGGTCACCACGACGACATCCCGTCTTGAATGTGACCTTCATTGAAGAAATGCACTGCTGATAGAATCACACTTGATGAATGTTGTTCGAAACCTTCACGATTATTTTCTCAGACGTTGTTTAGAGGGGACCTGAAGCTCACATAGTTGTATTCCCTTGCTCTTGCATGAATGATACTCACAAGCCGGAAGCTTTCCTGTTGACGGATACTTTTGGATTTCCCATCTAGGACCTCACAATGTCAGGAACATTCGTATCGATTTCTGACTTCATCTTACGGTGAAAAGTACGAGATAACTCGCTGTACCTTCTCCTCCTCTTGAGTGAGTCCCAAGCATTCAATGACGGCGTCGGTCATATGGTCCAACGGCGTTTCCCTCCGGTCTTGTTTGATATTCTCTCCTCACTTTCAGAATCTGCTCAAAACAATCTCATGTTTGCATCCTTCCTTGCTTCAGCTATCTACATCCCCCATCCCTCACATGTACAACTCTGTTGACTGCGCGCTCGTCCACAGGCCCTCTCATCGCCCGCCAGTCCTCCTGACTTTACTCAAGACAGATTAAGTAAAAAATCATTCCTGCTGCCAGTCTGCGGCACCGTGAAGGCCCGGCAGTGCCGAACCCGGAACTTGTGACTCGGAACCCGCCGCCGGGCCGGACCGGCCCGGGCCGCGGGCGGGGACGGAGTCATGGTTGCCTGGCAGTCGGACACTCAGTGGCGGCTGGGCCGGGCGGGCCCGCCCATGGTATCCGATCATGCCAGTACGCTGATAGTATGAACGGTACATCCATTACTCAAAGTTTCACGGTTTACTAAGTTAGTTCCTAGTGAACAAGTGGAGTATGTACAAGTATTTGTGAAGCAGTTTGCCCGCAATGTCAATTATGTCATCATCAATCGAGCTCTGCTATCAGTCATCCGAGTCACCCGAAGTCTTTCCGTGCCAGCAACAGCTACTTTTCCCCCTGCAAAACAAGGCAAGCATCAGATGGTTCAGAAGAAAGGAGGAAAACTTGGCCGTCAAGATTACCCGTTGCATGTCAACCTGACAAATGTCGTCGTCCTCAGTCTTGCTGACGCTGGAGGAGGTCCTGAGACTGAAACTGATACCTTTGGAAGTTTCCCTGTCGCAACGCCTTGAGTGCTGTTGACTGAAAGCTGAATCCTGAGAGTATTCGGAGGTGTACTGGTCGCCGAAAGAACTTCTTCTTCACTGGGCGATCTTGCACATTGATCGTCCCGTGTCTGGCCACAACTCTGAACGTCCTTGACTTTCGGATCCGCTGCACTTTGGAGGATAAAATCACCATGCGGCCGAACTATCTGAATATGTCTTGTCCTATGATCCTCGGAAAGACCTTCTGCCTCGTTACACTGCAACCCAGCCACGACCCATCCACCTGCACTTGAAAGTTCTGTGGCTTTGGAGAGTGGAGGACATTCTTCAATCTGCAAATCTTCCACGGTAATCGGTGTTTCGTACTTGTTTTCCTTGTCTTCATTGTTCATTGTGTGAAGAGAGTGAATCTGTATTTGTCTTGAATTCTTCAACCTGGCTCCAACATGAGACAAAAATACTCGTTCAAAACACCTTGATGAAAAAATCTTTTTGGCAAGACCCTTTGCGTTCCAATTATTTCTACACTTGTTTGGCTCAGGCTAGCGGAATAGCAAAGTTCAAAGTTTCATCAAGACTTCTCTATAGCTCAAAATTCCCGCAGAAAAACGTAAAACATCCTTATGAGCATTTTCATCGCTAATCTTTTCTATCTCTGCTTCTCCTGTTTCTCGCTGTAGGCCTTGCCTTCCTCTCAGTTCTCTTGTCCTAAACATTCTATTACACCACTCCACTCATTTACACAGACCAATCTTCGACATCACTAGGTCACTTGTAGGACAAGAAGTCTCCACTAAGAAGTCTCCACTGTCCAGTTTCTTCGAGCCATCTTCAGCTCGCCTCCATGAAACCACATGTTGATCTCTTCTGCCTTCAAGTTCCCTCTCTCATTGTTGCCACAGCCACTGTGCCACTCTGTTTCTACCGGTACCCCCACCCTAAATATACCATATTCATGTACCCGTGGACGGCGGATTCTGAATGAGGACCCCACCCCTCAAGATAAATTAACTTTCAGTTTTTCCCCACTGCCTGCCCTCTACACGTAGGTGAAATCACCCAGTGACGGGAGGGGCCAGGGCTGGGGGCGTTTGAAGGAGGGGGTGGGTGGTTGGGTTTACCCAGCTAGGCTGATAGAGTCCTCGTCAGAGTCTTACTCCTGCTCAATCCTCTCCTCGTCTCTTACTCCTCCTTACTCCTCTCCTCGTCTCCTACTCCTGCTGCTTGACTCGTTTACCTCTCATCTTCTCCTCACACGCCTGCTGCTTGTCTCGTTTACATTTCGTCTTCTACTGCTTCTCGTCTTCATCCTTGAAGCCTGCTTTCTCAATGCATGTGCCTTCCTACTCTTAGGGCCTTTCCTCCGCAGCTCGAAATGTTCACATCGATCCTCTGTTCGAGCCTTGTAAGCTGTATACCTGGACTGTAAGTGAAGACCAAGAGTACAGCACATTACTGTCGCTCGGTCCCCCCCACTCTCCATCCACTTTCCGTTGGGAGTGCTGATAGCAATAAACATTTACACATGCCTGATAGATAAACAAATTATCCTCTACTTTCATGACGAACAATTTACAAGATCGTTCTGATTAACTTAACTTTGAATTGGAGGATCGGACTAAGAGTGACCAGCGGCAATCCCGGCGATGATCTCCGGGTCCGGGTCCAACGCGGTTGAGTTCCTGCATTTATAACGAATGATAAAGTATTCAATAACCTTCTAGTGTAAGAAAATGACAAATACACAACACACATGCAGGTACTCTTCACCTGCTATCCCTTGACTATACATAACCCTTCCCAAGTCTTCCAGATACTACACACCCTTCACGCGCGGCCTTCCTCCTTAGCCGACGCCGGCAGGCTTGACTAGCTGTACAACCGCCCCGTGTAGTGATATGAGTCCACCGAGAAGTAGATGAAGCCCAGCACTATCCCTCCCCCAAACATCCCCGGCACGGCAAACATCGACTTCAGTGACAGCAGCGCGACCCCCGATAGCCCATGCCCGCTCGTGCACCCCGACGCAAGCCGGCTCCCGAAGATGGCGCAGAAGCCTCCTATGAACGCCTCTCCCGGCGTCACGCCCTGGAACTTCCCGTACGTCCCTGCTGCGTTGGCTGCGATCGCGGCTCCTCCGATGGCGGATACAAGATACACGGCCTGCCACCAGTTGATGATCCCGGTCCTGTATCCGTTCAGGTGCTTGAACACAACTTGCCAGTTCTGAGATAGCGCAAGAGGCTGAGAGGTATATGTCATGTACGCCGAGCTGCTCCCCAGGGTGTCTTGGACGAACAAGATAGCTGGGATCTGTAGGAAGCCGATGATCGCCCCCATAAGCTCTGGGGGGAGCGCCGTCTTCCAAGGCGTCGTCCCTACCGGCACCTCCTCCTTCCACGGGAAAAACACTTCGAGGATGACGATGAAGATGGTCATGCAGACCGCCAGAGCAAGCGCAAGCCCCCAGAAAGGCACCTTCTTCAGAGGCCCGTAGTCCTCGATCTTCGGTGACTTCATCTTCCCTGCCTTGAGGTACGGCTCGATCTTGGGCTGCACCACCCCATACAAGGCCGCGCCCGACAGGCCCCCGATGAGCGTCAGCCACGAGTAAGGGATGCCTGCTCCGACTTGTACCAGCACCATCCCTGGGCATGACCCTGACAGACACATGCCGCATCCTAGGATGAAAGCTCCCAGAATGATCGGTATCAGCCCCTTGCACTGTAGCGAGCTCATGAACCCCTCGCGAGCTATTTCAAAGTGCATGGGGAAGATCAGCGACACTCCCGCGATGCAGTATGCCGACCCCGCCGACGCTCCCAAGAACATCTTCAGCATGATCTCCCGCCTGAAGATAAACTGCTCCCTGATCACCAGCGGTAGCGTCACCTTCCCCAGATCCATCGCCGACCCGAAAACAAGGCCCATGAACATGGCTGCGAGGATGCCCTTGACCCATCGCGTCCTCCCTTCCCATGATTGGCTCTCGCTGTTGTTACCCGCTGCGAGCTCCTCTACGGCTACCTTGTACTGGCTGGGAAGCTTGGGGGAGCTGGTGCCATCCAATCCTTCGTTCTTCATGTCGGTGAAGTCGTCGACGGGAGTTGTGGTGTAGACGACGTGGGGCTCTACCTTGACGGAGATAGCGGCTTCCGGCATCGTACAAGGTAGGGGGGATGAAGGCAGGGGGACGAGATAACAGCGGAAGAGAATGCGACTCGGGAGCCGGGAGGACGGCAACCCCTACCCCTCTCTCTTCCCTATGCATGGGGGGTTACCCTTCTGCACCATCGGGATGTGCGAATTAACCCTTATTGAATCCACCCCTCGCCCCAGCCAGATAGACCACCCCTCCCTCTTTCTAGCGCTATCCAGGAGGATTGCCCTCTTGGGTTGAGGTGTCGGCCCTACCACCCATGCAGAGAGAGGGTAGTCAAGGTCGAAAGAAGGGGTACCACAAGGTACTTCGGCAAGGTCACAGCTGAAAAACGGTCTGCTTACACTGCTGGTCAGATCGGAGTTGTTATCTTGAACGCGGTCAGTACTAAGATGCCAGTGTAAGCTTGCAACGGCGACGACAGGCCGATGCTGCACAGTGACTGAGAGCCGAAGCCAGTCCGCTCATGCTCATGAAATGTCTCATACTGGAACACAAGCAGAGACACATGAGGCTGTTCCCCTTGCCACCTTACCTGGGTGACGCATGCAAGGCCACGGTGAGTCAGTGATAACCTAGTCCCTCCTCTGTGATGCGGAGATAATCCAACAACTGAGCGATAGTGCACTTACGAGTGAACAGATGCGCAATGAAGCTAGATTTGATTATGTACGTCAGCGCTCCTGCAACCCGCTTGCCGCGGCTTAAATGCCAATCCAGGCTGCTTATATGTCGATTCTAGTTGGTGCTCGTAGTAGCACAATGAGTAAAAATGTGTGCTGAACTGGTACCTAGCGTCATGCTTTCATCGTACTAATGCGCCATACGTACAATTTTACACATCTTGCCAGCGTACGCAACCGCTCACGACTGCTCGCATGGTGCTGCCATGTCCGTTACCAATGTAACGTCATGTGGCTGCAACAACATACTAACCACAAGCGCTTCCGCTTGCAGCAAGCAACTTGAATGATCCATCACCAGTAGCTCGAGACCAAAGATAGCAGGGTAGAGTTGCTTTTTTAATTGCATAAGGAACGAAACGATTCAATAACAAATTGACCTAAGACAATGACAAATACACAACACACATGCAGGTACTCTTCACCTGCTATCCCTTGACTATACATAACCCTCCCCAAGTCTTTCAGATACTACACACCCTTCACGCGCGGCCTTCCTCCTTAGCCGACGCCGGCAGGCTTGACTAGCTGTACAACCGCCCCGTGTAATGATATGAGTCCACCGAGAAGTAGATGAAGCCCAGCACTATCCCTCCCCCAAACATCCCCGGCACGGCAAACATCGACTTCAGTGACAGCAGCGCGACCCCCGATAGCCCATGCCCGCTGGTGCAGCCCGACGCAAGCCGGCTCCCGAAGATGGCGCAGAAGCCTCCTACGAACGCGTTCAGGTACTGCCTCATATCCTGGCAGTTCTTGCAGATAGCAAGAGGCTGGGAGGTATATGTCATGTACGCCGAGCTGCTCCCCAGGGTGGTATTGATCAGCAGGATAGCTGGGATCTGTAGGAAGCCGATGATCGCCCCCATAAGCTCTGGGGGGAGCGCCGTCTTCCAAGGCGTCGTCCCTACCGGCACCTCCTTCTCCCACGGGAAAAACACTTCGAGGATGACGATGAAGATGGTCATGCAGACCTCGATCTTCGGTGACTTCATCTTCCCTGCCTTGAGGTACGGCTCGATCTTGGGCTGCACCACCCCATACAAGGCCGCGCCCGACAGGCCCCCGATGAGCGTCAGCCACGAGTAAGGGATGCCTGCTCCGACTTGTACCAGCACCATCCCTGGGCATGACCCTGACAGACACATGCCGCATCCTAGGATGAAAGCTCCCAGAATGATCGGTATCAGCCCCTTGCACTGCAGTGTGCTCATGAACCCCTCGCGCGCCCTCTCAAAGTGCAAGGGGAAGATCAGCGACGCTCCCGCGATGCAGTATGCCGACCCCGCCGACGCTCCCAAGAACATCTTCAGCATGATCTCCCGCCTGAAGATAAACTGCTCCCTGATCATCAGCGGTAGCGTCACCTTCCCCAGATCCATCGCCGACCCGAAAACAAGGCCCATGAACATGGCTGCGAGGATGCCCTTGACCCATCGCGTCCTCCCTTCCCATGATTGGCTCTCGCTGTTGTTACCCGCTGCGAGCTCCTCTACGGCTACCTTGTACTGGCTGGGAAGCTTGGGGGAGCTGGTGCCATCCAATCCTTCGTTCTTCATGTCGGTGAAGTCGTCGACGGGAGTTGTGGTGTAGACGACATGGGGCTCTACCTTGACGGAGATAGCGGCTTCCGGCATCGTGCAGCTCTGAGGGCGCTACTCTGATGAGTACGTTCGACTGTGGCTTGGGGGAGCAGGACAGCGAGGTAGGGGGGATGAAGGCAGGTGGGACGAGATAATCAGCGGATGACGATGCGAGGAGCCGCAAATTCTGCACTGTTCCATGTCTTCTACACCACCGTTTAGCCTTGCTGTTGAGCTCCATGTCGTCGACGCAGGGTGTCACTGAAGCTGGATCAAGCACGGAGCATTAACTAGATGAGTGCCTCGTTTATAGCGGCTGAGCCTTGAAATAGGCTATTTGAACGTTAAACTTTCTCCTGTATGTTTCACTAGTCTTGTGGTGCCTTCTATAGAAACATTGGGTGTAGTGATGCATGTTGATGAATTGGCGGCGGATATTATTCATCGGGGCAAAACTGTATCGAACGTGTTCGCTGTGTTCAAGAAATGAACTGATATCTGATAACGTTGACCGTATGATCATCGATCCATTTTAAAATCCTTTGTGGGTCTTGTTTTCCTTTGCGACTGCTGAATTCATACTCAGTCGTTCGCGTGACCAAGTAACGCTTTTATTGGTCCCTTGTAGTCCCAGGGTGATTCTCTGTTCTTTGATAAAATCCAAAACGTTTTGTTTCTGCAATGTTTGAGAAACATTGTTTGTTTCCCCCCATAGCGTAATGTGCTCGATCTGATACAGTGAATTTCATACTTGTAATTTCATGTACATCGTGAATCTCAATTCGTTGCGCGTTGGTTGGTGATGCACGTCAAAATGCTTGTGAGCCCCGTACTGAATTTTAACTTAACTTTGAGTAAAAGCAGCTATAAAAGTTAAAAGGAATGATTTTTTCATAGGGCGGTAGGACCATTCTATGGCCCTGTTATAGGAGGATAGGGGCGAAGACCAGGGATAGGAGCTATGGAAGGCTGAGCAGGCTGAGAGGGAGAGGGTTGAAGCAAGATATCATCTTGTGCTACAAGAAACTGAGAGCATGGAAGAGCAGCGGGAGACATTCGGTTCCTTCCATCAGATCCCTTCGAACTTTGGGGGTTTTCAAGATACGGTTTTTCAGCCACGATTTCAGCCATTTGTCCATGTAAATCAACTTCAGCCGACCATGCAGCTACCAGGACCAACAATCGACTCAAGCTCTCTCCAGTCCATATCACAGTTTCTGGAAAATCCAGGGGGCAGCTTCTCTTACTTGTCGTCCGTGCCTGCCAGTCATGCGCCTGCTCTATCTTTGCCTGTCCCTCTTCATCCTCCTGCTTTCAAGCTTCTGGAGGTTGCGAATGAAAAGAAAGAGAAGAGACAAGCACGCAAACTCAAGTCTCGGTTACAACATCGCGGTGCCTGCTACCAGTGTAGACAAAAGAAGTGGAGATGTTCCAACAATCGTCCATGTGAGAAATGTGTCATATACGAAACTGCACAATCCTGTGACAAATCAGACATCCTTCATCCTGTTGAACGTCCGCTGCCATCAAAAATGTGGGTCGAGATTCAAGACGATGTCTACACAAACATGGTCGCCATGAAGAACGCGTCGGTGTCAGAGGGAGTCAACTTTGCGCTTGTGCGCATCACGTGGGAGATCGGAATGAGCGTGAACCAAGTGCTGCAGGCCTTCAGGTTCTTGCCTACTAACGTCAAGAAGGTCATCGATGAGTCGATCCAGGCGGTACAGGGTCACGCCCAGAGAACTCTGATGAAGGAGCGGTCGTGCACGACAAGCCTCAAGGAGCTCATGGCCAAGCAGGAAGTTGGCCGTATCTCTGCATGCGCTTTGGGCACGCATGGAGAATATGAAGAACCGCCAGAACCCTCGGACGAGCGCTGGGGACATGGGCGATGGTTCTCTCTCGAGTACGACAAGAACACTGCGACAAGGAAATACTACAAGATCGGTTCCGAGCTCGCAGGGCTGCACGGGTACCACTCTGAGGAGTTTCTCTCGCGCATCGCCGAGAACAAGCTGCCCATCCACGCTACACACTTCGACATGCTCTGCATCGCTATGGACACCCTCTGCCGGTATCAGGAGAACACGATGGTGAAGTACTGGAGGTTATGGAAGGAAACCCACGACCCGCAAGTGTTCGCTTCCTCGTTCTTACGCTGTTGCATCATCCGAGACTTCGATGCCCTCGGCCGGAAGATCCGAACAGCACTGGTCTACGATCACCTTGACGAGAATGATTTTCAGCAGCTCGCTCAAGGAGGCCAGGGAGACAGCAATGATTTGCTCGCGATCTCCCTCCTTGACAGGCGATCTTTTCAGGAGTTCATGTCGGAGCATAAGCGCGAGCTGCAGTACTCGGGCAAACTCATGGACATGCGCAAGAAGCGATTAGGTCAAGAGAAGCTCGACGAGTTTGTGAAGCGATTGCAGCATACAGTCCAGAAGTTGGTCGGAGATTGAAGAGGATTCAAGTGCAGGCGGCCAGGTCACTTGATTGGTTACTACGAACAGAGAATCTAGAATCATTTGCTTAACAACAAAGTTTTACCTACAGTCAGTTGGCGCCGTTTAGGGTTTAACACTTTATGAAGCAGTTTACAGCTGAGTGTTTCATGCTCATTGTGCTCCCTTGGCTCTTTGGGCAGCCTCTTGGAAGTAGCCTCAGCCTTCACCGGCCACTCCTCCCTGCTCCCCTCCTATCTCCCTCTGAGCCGCATTCACCATTGCTTTGCTCTCATATGATGAACAAGTGCTCTACAAGGCACAGAGGGAATTGCCCTGCATCCCAGTGACCTCCTCTCTCTCTCTCTCTCTCTCTCCCTCCCTCCCTCCCTGACTCTCTCTCTCTCTCTCTCTCTCTCTCTCTCTCTCTCGCTCGCTCTCTGACTCTCTCTGTTTCTCTCTCTCCCTCCCTCCCTCCCTCCCCCCCCCCCTCTCTCTTCTAGATCGCGTTCCTGCATCCTCCCCGTCAAGAGGATAGGAGAGAAGTGGAGAACTATTGTTGTTCGACTTCCAGCTCATGTAGCTGTTTTGAATCGAAGATAGACATGCTCTGAGATCAGCTGGAGAAGCCTTGAGAGTGGTATGTCAGGTGGAAAAATATCTCCGCAAGCATCACTCTATTTCGAAAAATGTTTCCCAGCAGAGAACGCGTCCCATGGTGGCTTGGACGAAGAGGACGAGGAGGCAGCAGATCGCAAGGGAGAGGTGATCTAGAAACAGTTCAACAACATTTGAGAGTAAATCCAAGTCAAGGCAACTTTCGCACTCTTCTCTGACTCCTTCAGCACAAGTTGAAGGGGTGGTGAGCATGGAAGAGGTAGTCCTACACTCATGAACAGGGAAAGGCACTGCAAACATTCTCTTCTTGTCACTATCAACTGGGGATGAAAGGATCTTCTCGTTGTATTCAAACTGTTGAGAGTCAAAGCTGCAACACAGCAAGGAGCAAAAGAACAACATCTCATACATCTCTTTCATTCAATCTTCCCACGTCTCTCAGTTGTACAAGTCTTCAGACGTTATTTGCGTCACGTTCATCTGCTGAATAACTCTCATGCCACATGGTTGACTGCTCTGGTTCGACACCAGCCTAAGAGTTCTTGCTGCTTCCCAAGCTACTGAAACACTTGGTTCGAAACAACTGGATCACTTCCTCTCAAATCTGCAGAGCATGGATCGGTAGTGTCGACATGTACTTCCGCCCGAGCTCTTCCTCCTCCGAGGACGATGACACGACACGTTCGTCCACTTCACCAGCACCCCTCGCTGGTCGTTGATGCTTTCCTCGTCCAAGTAGTTGCAGGGCCTCTTGGTCACTTCCCTCGCATGCACGTCGATGACGATGAGGTCTGCCATGACGGATCGCTGGATGCTCGTTAGATCGTGCGAGAGGACTTCCACCAATTTGTCGCTCTGCTCGACGAAGTATCAGTACTGCTGGAAGTCCAGCAGGTCGTTAATCGCGATGGTAGCTAGACGAGTCTAGGCATGGTCGACAGTGGAGATGAAGGCGGCGGGGAACTGAAAGAACCAAGTCTCTCTCACGTCGTCGTTGTAAGCCGCTCTGGCCTTGATGGTCCAGTCAAACAGACTCTGTCGCATAGTAAACTCGAGATCGCACATCCTAAGCTCAACGCTCTTGGGAGCAGTTGCTACGGGTTGTTGAACCTTACTTGTCCTTCTCGGCACTGTTAATTGGGGCAAGATGGATGGAAGGGGCAGACTGAGCTCAAGTGGGGGACCCTCCTCGAAATCAGCAGACGCGATGGCGTCGAAGCATTTGCGGAGGTGAGGCTGGACGGCCGTGGGGACTCTGATCTGGGACAAGATCGCAGGGAAACTCCATTCTCTTCGTCTCTAGGTAATCTTCGAGGGTGTTCTGGATCTTTTCCAGGACTTTGTTGGCCTCCTGGAACAAGCCCAGCACACCTTCACCCGTGAATGCCTCGATGCAATTTTGGCGCTTCTTTGTCTTGTTCATGATGTCGTTTCAACTCTGGTCCACCCGCAGAAACTGGATGGTCTCCTGCGGCAGCTGCTTCTGGACAGCGAACCACACATCAAGAGTCTCCGAGAGGAGGGAAAGTTTCTTGTCCCAACAGCTCTCGACTTCTGTACAATGCCAACCATGAAGTGGGAAGCAAGCCCGGTCTGCAACGCCGCCTGGTTGTCCTGAAGCTGTGCAGGCACTTCATCGAGATCTGTCAACCAGCACGGGAGCGAAGCCTTGAAGGCTTCGTGGAAAGCTTGGTCATTGCCTAAATCTGTTTGTCAATATCGTCGGGCTTGATCATAGCATTCCAACCCTCCTGCTTCAGGGTCAAGAACAACGCCAGATCCGAGAGAAGCAATTTCACTCTGACCTCATCGGGCCTACGAAGCTACTGGATACTATAAGCCGCAGTCAATCTCTTACAGTAATAGCTCGGAAAGGGCTACTAATAAGAGCCCCCCTGGCCCCCCCCGCGAATCTCACGGCGTCGTGTTCATCAGCAGCACATGTTTGCAACGGCGACGACGGCATGATTGTCATGCTCGGACAGGCCGATGCTGCACAGTGACTGAGAGCCGAAGCCAGTCCGCTTGTGCTCAACAACGTCTCATACTGGATCACAAGCAGAGAGCAGACACATGAGGCTGTTCCCCTTGCCACCTCACATTGGTGCATGCAAAGCCACGGTGAGTCAGTGATAACCTAGTCCCTCGTCCGGTGCACCACACGCGCTTCCGCTTGCAGCAAGCCATTCGTACTCTCCACAAGCCGCACGTAACCAGCAGCAGATCACACGAAGGAGTTTCTCCTTTTTGCAATGAGAAACGAAACGATTCAATAACCTTCTAGTGTAAGAAAATGACACATACACAACACACATGCAGGTACTCTTCACCTGCTATCCCTTGACTATACATAACCCTTCCCAAGTCTTCCAGATACTACACACCCTTCACGCGCGGCCTTCCTCCTTAGCCGACGCCGGCAGGCTTGACTAGCTGTACAACCGCCCCGTGTAGTGATATGAGTCCACCGAGAAGTAGATGAAGCCCAGCACTATCCCTCCCCCAAACATCCCCGGCACGGCAAACATCGACTTCAGTGACAGCAGCGCGACCCCCGATAGCCCATGCCCGCTCGTGCACCCCGACGCAAGCCGGCTCCCGAAGATGGCGCAGAAGCCTCCTATGAACGCCTCTCCCGGCGTCACGCCCTGGAACTTCCCGTACGTCCCTGCTGCGTTGGCTGCGATTGCGGCTCCTCCGATGGCGGATACAAGATACACGGCCTGCCACCAGTTGATGATCCCGGTCCTGTATCCGTTCAGGTGCTTCATTACATCCTGGCAGTTCTTGCAGATAGCAAGAGGCTGGGAGGTATATGTCATGTACGCCGAGCTGCTCCCCAGGGTGGTATTGATCAGCAGGATAGCTGGGATCTGTAGGAAGCCGATGATCGCCCCCATAAGCTCTGGGGGGAGCGCCGTCTTCCAAGGCGTCGTCCCTACCGGCACCTCCTTCTCCCATGGAAATAACACTTCGATGATGACGATGAAGATGGTCATGCAGACCGCCAGAGCAAGCGCAAGCCCCCAGAAAGGCACCTTCTTCAGAGGCCCGTAGTCCTCGATCTTCGGTGACTTCATCTTCCCTGCCTTGAGGTACGGCTCGATCTTGGGCTGCACCACCCCATACAAGGCCGCGCCCGACAGGCCCCCGATGAGCGTCAGCCACGAGTAAGGGATGCCTGCTCCGACTTGTACCAGCACCATCCCTGGGCATGACCCTGACAGACACATGCCGCATCCTAGGATGAAAGCTCCCAGAATGATCGGTATCAGCCCCTTGCACTGCAGTGTGCTCATGAACTCCTCGCGCGCCCTCTCAAAGTGCAAGGGGAAGATCAGCGACGCTCCCGCGATGCAGTATGCCGACCCCGCCGACGCTCCCAAGAACATCTTCAGCATGATCTCCCGCCTGAAGATAAACTGCTCCCTGATCACCAGCGGTAGCGTCACCTTCCCCAGATCCATCGCCGACCCGAAAACAAGGCCCATGAACATGGCTGCAAGGATGCCCTTGACCCATCGCGTCCTCCCTTCCCATGATTGGCTCTCGCTGTTGTTACCCGCTGCGAGCTCCTCTACGGCTACCTTGTACTGGCTGGGAAGCTTGGGGGAGCTGGTGCCATCCAATCCTTCGTTCTTCATGTCGGTGAAGTCGTCGACGGGAGTTGTGGTGTAGACGACATGGGGCTCTACCTTGACGGAGATAGCGGCTTCCGGCATCGTGCAGCTCTGAGGGCGCTACTCTGATGAGTACGTCGCTTGGGAGGGCAGGGGGAGGAAGGAAGGAGATCTCGAGGGAGACGAGCAAGCGGAGTTTGTTTCAACTTTGTTGGATGTGAAGGGTTCTCGAGAGTCAGACTAGAAGTGCAATCGTAAGGGCAGGAGCTCAGTCAGGAATGTCCAAGAGAGATGGGGTAGAGCAACGGAGGGTCGGAGGATGAGAGCGATAGAACCAAGCTCAGGGCAGGGGGCGGGGGACAGTCGTGGGGAAGCAGGGGAGCAAGGAGGCACCGTGGAACTTGAATCACCCCACCTCTTCATTTTCTTCACCCTACCTTTCTCTCATTGATACTTCGCAGAGTGTATGTACCCCCTACCCACCTATTTACTGCTTTATTCCTCTCTCAGCACCTGGTACTTCGACTCAATGTCAGAGCTCTGTCGACCCTCACCCCTGTTGTCTCTGTACCCCACCCCCTCACATCCATCTTCCCAATCTCCGCTCCACGGACGATGTGGTAAAGTTCGCCAATGATGACTTAGGATTTTTGCATGTGTGCGCGCATGCATAATCAGGGGTGAGCTGACTGGTGGCCTGTTGGGGTCATTTGATAGGTAGGTGCTCATTTGAACTAGCGTTTATTTTCGGGCGACTCCGTGACTACGTGGTAGGAAGGTAGAATCGTTATATATATTTATAATCTTCGAGATAAACCCAATACGGTACCTGCGGAGGAGGGTGGGGGTAGCAAGGATATCCATTGTCCTGCAAAAATGGCATTGTAGTTGTGGGGGGGCTGGGGGAGGAGAGGGGAGGGGTGGGTGGGTGGGTGGGGGTTCCTGACGGGGGTAGTCTGTGGGGTGAAGGTCCCCCCCGAGATCCAGTCAGCAGTTGGTCATGTACCACCGTAGATCTCCATGACTGTTAAAAAAACAAAAACATTTCAGATACTCTATCAAACTTTGAAGCTGAAGGATCAATTTTAATGGGAGAATTTCCTATTATTGATAACGAAATCGAGGACACCTCAAAACCGTAATGATCAATCTTAATGGTTTTGGTCAAAAATTCAATATTTGGAGTTACATTTCACTACTTTAACATTTCGCTCTGCAAGCGCGAAACGACGGGGCTGAAAATGACCGCAAGGGTACATATCTTACGGTTTCATCTAGATGCCTCAAATTTGAAACATACAGATTCTCAATTTCAAATGTACTCATGTTTGTCACGTGACCATGTGACCCGGGTGTTCGGATCTGCGTGACTGGCCATGACAAGCTCGAAGGATCTTTCAAACATTGTATGCCCCTGCCTGGGGTGGTCGCTGATTTACGTATGTCTCTCTATCCCAGGTGGTACCATGGAGGGTGGTGTAATAGCTCCATGGAGGGTGGTGTGATCATGAAGGGGGTCGGGTAGTCAGATCTTGATTACAGTTACCCTGCAGGGTGAAGGGGTAGGGGTTATCCTACCGGTGGTGGTAGCAGAGAAGATATGGTGGTAGTGGTCGGGTAACCTCTTCAACACGATGATCCCTTTCTGAGATGGGGGTAGTCTTGTTTTCAGGGGTGGTAGTAAGATTGAGTGAGGATGGGTGGGTAGTAGCAATATATGATAGTCGGGGAGTCCCTTGGTTGTAGGGCGCCTGTGAGGAGACGCTGTCGTCATATCCCTCCTATCTCCTTGTACTTCCTACCCTATCTCCTCCTCCTCTGGGAACTATCCTTCTCGCCTCGCCAATCTTGCGTTCTGATCCTCTCTGCTCCGTGTTTTCATCTAGACTCCTTCTGTGAACAAAGAGGGCTGCGAAGTCCGAGCACGACCAGGCTTGTTCGAGCATCACAAACACCGTGAAGAAGCAAACTAGTTGCGTGATTGTGCATTTAGGTGTCATATTGCTCAGCTAAAGACA